ACACATAATCCATCTTGGTTCTTGTTTTTTCCCAATTCCCCTGCCCTCCTTTCAACCCCTCCACCTCTCTCTATTTACAAAGACTTTGTTTCACTTTTTTCATTTTCTCATGTTAATTCCATTCCCTTATTTCCTTTCTCATTCCTCCTACTTCCCCTTCCCCTTTGAAACTTTTCTTCCTATTTCACATTATCTATTATACATTTTGATCCTTATTTACACTTTCAGTTTTTCATGCCAGAGCAACTATTCAGTATTTACATGTGTGTTCAATTTATCTCACTTAAAAGAGGATGGCCTCAAAGGGCATCCATTTATCTATTAATGTCTCTAGTTTCTTATTTATGGCTGAGTAGTGTGCCATTTTATAAAAACAAAACAAAAACACATCATCTTTATCCAGTCTCCAACTGATGGGCAATTGGGCTGTTTTCAAGTTTTTGATATTATAAACTGCTGCTATGAACATGGATGCACATATATCACTGTGGTAGGATTCTTTTAATTGTTTTGGAAAGATACTCAGCAGTGGAATAGTTGGGTCGAATGAGACCTCTAATTCTAGTTCTTTGAGGTATCTCCATACTGATTTCCACAGTGGTTGCACCAGTCTACATTCCCACCAACAATGGTGAAGAGTTCCTCTTTCCCCACAGCCCCACCAGCATTTGCTATTGGTTGGTTTCTTGTTAACAACCATTCTTTCTGGGATGAGATGGAAGCTCAGTATTGTTTTCATCTGCATCTCTCAAATGACCAGTGATGTTAAACATTTTTTCATATGTTTATTTGTTGCTTTTATTTCTTTGTCTGAGAAATGTCTGTTCATTTCAGATGCCCATTTTTGGATTGGATCTTTAAATTTGGGAGGTCTGATCTTTTTAAATTCTTTATATATTCTAGATAGTAGACTTTGTCTGAGGAAGAGCTGGTGAAAAGCTTTTGCCACATTGTGGGTTGTCTTTTAACTCTGTTGGCTGCTTCTCTTGCTGTGCAGAAGGTTTTTTAAAAAGAAAAGATCCCTCGTGTTGATTCTCTGTGGTAGTTCATGTGCAACTGAGGTTTTGTTCCTGAAATCTTTTCCTATGCCAGGGTCTTCAAAAGTTCTATCTAATCTCTATTCCAGCCAGTTTAGTGTTTCCATATTAATATTTACATCTTTAATCCACTTGGATTTGAGTTTAATGTATGGTGAAAGATATAGGCCTAGTTTTAATCTTTGGCAAGTTGAAACCCAATTTTTCCAGCACCATTTATTAAAGAAGCTATCTTTCCTCCAGTGAGGGTTTTGGCTCCTTTGTCAAAGCTGAGGTGGCTGACTGTCTGGAATTGTTTCTTCATTATCTAATCAGTTCCATTGATCCTTGGGTCTGTTTCTTTGCCAGTACCATGCTGTTTTTATCACAGTGCCGTTGTAGTAAAGTTTCAATTTGGGTGATACCCCCTACCTTTTCTTTGTTTCCTAGAATGGCTTTTGCTATTCTAGGTCTCTTCTTGTTCCAAATGAACATTTGGATTGTTTTCTCAAGGTCCATGAAGTATGCTGCTGGAATTTCATTTTGGATTGCACTGAACCTAAAACAAGTAAATCCTATCATTTGTGATGGCACTGATGGATCTGGAAGGCACTATGTTGAGCATAAGCCAGGCCTAGAAAGGAAAATATGGCACGATCTCACACATAGGTAGAACTTTAAACTGTTGACCTCATAGACGCAGGAAGTGGAATGGTGGTTACCAAATGCTAGAAGGTGAGAGGGTTAGGAAGATGTTAGAAAAAGGCTACAAAATTTCAGTTGGATAGGAAAAATAAGTTCTAGAGTAGAACATGGTGACTATAATTAATAGGTGTATTGGATTCTTGAAAAATCACTGAGAATAGATTTCAAGTTTTCCTGGCACAAAAATAAGTATGTGAGGTTAATGTATCTTTCCACACTGTATACATAATTCAAAATGTTAGATTATACACAATAAATATAATTTTTAATTTGTCAGTTTAAATTATCTTAATAATTAAAGTGGTAACTATGTGAGGTGATGGCTGTATTAACTGACTTGATTGTGTTAATCATTTCACAGCACACATGCATATCAAAACATCGTTATAGTTTGAGTTAGTCTTCTGCCCCCTGGAATTAAAGTGATGCAAATTTAACTGTGAAAGTCATATATTAATGATATTTTGAGGTGGGCTCTTTACAAGGCAATGAGGATTAGATGAGGCAATGAGGGCGGGGCTCCCACAATGGCATTAGAGGCTTAAGAGAAGAAGAGAGACCTGAACTAGTGGTTTGCTATGCTTTGCATGTGATACTCTCTTCCATGTTCTGATGCATTAAGAAGGCCCTTGGTAGATGCTGGCACTGTACAAAATCTTGTACTGCCTAGACTCCAGAATCATAAACTAACTAAACCTCTCCTTTTTTTAAATTCCTAGTCTGTGGTACACAGTTATAGTAACAAAAACCGGGCTAAGAAAATATGCTGTACACTGAAATACATGTGATTTTTGCCAATTATACCCCAATAAAGCTGGGGTAGAGGGAAACAAAGTAATCCTGTATTTGTGTATGCCTAAATCAATGTCATCATTAGATTTGTGTGTGTGTTTGTGTGTGTGTGTGTGTGTATGTGTATAGCTTTCTGCAGAATTTTTTCTTTGTATGGAGTTGGAGCTGCTTTAGAGACACTGTTTATCTCAAAGTTCATTGTAAAATCTAGCATATTTCTCTCAGATGACCTGCTTGACTTCAGAAAGAAAAAGATTACAGCCAGGCACCCCATGTGCACAGTTAGCAGAAAACACCAAGACAATGAAATACTGAAATCTGACATAAAAGGTGTGCTGTGCCTCACTGAGAGTTCTATGAAGCTCTGAAGTCCAAACTGCCCACAGAAATCACTTTTTGTAACCCGAATGTGCCCTATCACAAGGACATGATAAATACAAAATTCAGGCACTTCTGAACCAATTCCCTTAGCTGGGGAGAGTGGATGGCATGAGTCCTCTCAGTTTTTCAGACATATGCTGCCATAAATTGAAAAGAGTCTGGTAAAAATGTGGAATTACCTGTGAGGGAAAAAAATTGGAAGCTGTTTGAAAAAGACATTTCAAACTTCTTGCTTCTTTGAATCACAATATTGCTCTAGGCCAGGTCCCAGCTCTCATCATGTCAGAAGAAGATGAGGTAGAGACTGATGGTGGAAGGAGCTCAGGGTGTACACTGGTGCCCCCTGGATCCAGGGCTGCCTGTAACTGGAAAGCTGAAAATCAGGGTGAGGATGTAGAAAGCAATCAGACAGACCCCTGCTCTCTTAAAGTGGTCAAGACCAAGCACCCACCCAAGGTGACATGGGCAGCTTTGCACCCAGTAAGTTACCGAGCACTGTCATCTCTCAGTGCACAGATGCATGGCTGCTTTCACAACATGAGTTCAGCACAGTCCTATGTAGAGTATGAAAGGGCAGAGGTCCAATAGATTGATACTCCAGTCTGAAAACCATTGAGCTCACAGCATTTTAAGGCATTTGGTTTGCCCTGTTCTAAATTCTCTCAACACTGTTTAATTTGATACTGTTGAAGTTTGCATCCATGTATCCATTTTCTCATCTACAAATATACATCGCCACCAAAATGCCAATCTCCTATCCATAGTGACAACTTCTTGTATTCTTGAAGTTCCTTCTCTTTTTCCACCTAGGAAATTTCCTTAAGGTTAGCATTACAATGTGCTTTATGCAGCATTCAAGATCGATGTGGTGGGTTATATGTTTTTATTTACATCTGCATGTTCTTTTATGTGATGTGATAAATGTGTGTTATATGGACTTAAATGCAAAGGTCTGGCAATGCTGCACATAATTGGTAGCATATTTCCAGAGCCCAGGCATTACATCCTTTAGGACAACTTTGGAATCATCCTTTTTTCTCAACCACTTGCTCCACCCTAGCCTTTGTCCTTCACACCTCAGTGAGTTTTCTTTCCTGATGTTGAAGTCAATCATTTATCTACCTGAAGCTCCTGACTTTACCCTTAACATTTTTTCTGGATTCTATCTGTACTTCTAGAATAATCTTTTAAAAATTTAATTCAGGCCATGTGACTCCCCCTTTTTAGGATATTTCAGCAGCTCCTCGTTACCTAAGGATAAATACAGACTTCTTTGCTTTATGTACCAGGGAAGCTGGAGCCAGTATCTCACTCCTGTCCTCTACATTCTTTGCATTCTATTTTTCTCATTCTAAAAAGGAGAATGGGAAAATGTGAACAGCTGAACCAAATGTTCCCAAGTGCAGGCTGTAAACCAGAGGCACAGGAGCAACACCTGTGGGAGCTGGAAAGGATTATATAGTTTTGGTCCCTACCTGGCATTTACTGGATCAGAAACAGGGGGTGGAGCCAAATATAGGAACCAACCATTTCCCCATCTTTTTAGAAGAACAATTTATAACAGCTAAACCTTGGAAGCAGCCTATATGTCCATCATCAAATGATTGATGATGTAATATTTATACACAGTGAAATACTGCTCTGCAAAAGAAGGATAAACTTGAGTCATTTGTAGGAAAATGGATGCACCTTGAGACCATAATGTTAAGTGAAATAAATCAGACTCAAAAGCTTAGATATTACATGGTTTCTCTTATATGAGAAACCCAAAATATAAATAAAGACTAAAATAAAAGATAGGTAAATAGGAAGTAGGAAGACAGACCTTTTTCAAATGAGAAGCAGACCAAGAGATGGAGGGAGAGGGGAGAGAGGAAAAGGGAAGGAAAAAAGAATTAAGATATATTACTACATGTACCAATTCCCTGTAAGAAATGTAATCATTACGTACTACAAATGTGTACAAAAAATAATAATAATAACTGGAGGAAAAACAACTATCCAGGTGATCCTGAAGACTGTGAATAAATGCTTTAAACCATTGCCCAGGATGGAGGCCTCGCCTTTTGGTAATAAATTAAACACAAGTATATAATTCTTGTTCAGCTCAGTCTCAACTGCTGAGGATTAGAAGATCTTCACTTCTCTGAGAGTTCTCCCAGTGGGCTTCTGCTGCCTTCAGGAGATCCTCGAAGGGAGAAGTCCTTCACAGGAGAGCAGGTCAGACCCTTGTTTATGTGCTTCCTCTTCCCATTCTCCAGTGTTCTTAGGGATGCCAATGGCTGTGTGCCCTCTGTCTCCTCCCCCCAACCAGTTGTGCCCACATCTGCTAGAAAATGAAAATCAGTTGTTCCTACAAAAAGATGAGATTATTCTACATAACATGTAAAGTCTGCTTTGAGATGTTGCTTTATCATTTCATTACAAATTCACCAGGGGGAGGAAGAGGGAAAAGGCATCGTCCTTCATGGAAACACTTTAGCCCACCTATGTCATGGTAGAGTCCACCACATCTTGGAAGGAGATTTCTAAACTCAGCAAAGGTCAGATCTTTACCTAGCCCTGCTCAGCTAGCTTTCTTCTACATGGGACCTCAGAAGCAAAACTGAGTTACTTCAGAAACTGCCATGTCTGAGGTACATGTGATTGACAGTAACCACTAGATTGTAGCTGAAATGGCAAGCCATAAAACAAGGTAGATCTCACTTCTGCTGGGGTAGTAAAGTCCATTTCAAAAGATGTTCCACAGCACAGAGACCACAGGGGTTGTTTACCCCTGTCTCTCCCTCCTTCCCCCATCCTTTAAGTATTATAAAAATAGAACAGTGACTTTTAAATGTCAAAGAAATAGATGCATCTATCCATAATTTCAAAACTGTAGCTCAGTCACTACTGTAGATTTTTGCAATGAGCTTGTGAAGCTTGGCCCATTTATACTCTCTGTGCTAGTGTAGACATTGTGCTTTGTGGTTTGCCTCTTCCTCTAACCTTACATTCATACATTTCCCCCAGCTTGCTGCCAGGAAACCTGCAATATAACCAGAAGGCTCTCCTAGAATCACAATATTAGAGCTATAAAGGATTCAGATATCATCTTCTGCAGGAATTCTCAGCAAGGTCTTCAGAGGTGGGCTTCAGGAAGTTTGTGTCATCCTTGAAATTATCTGAAAAATTCTACTATAAGCATGTGCATCTTTTTGATATAGTGATGTCCTTGTATTGCCTTAGGTTCTCAAAGCAGTTCACACCCTGAAAAGGTTACATATCCATTCTTTGTACACAGGACCACTGTGTGCAGTCATGAAAGTAGAACTTTACTCAATTTGACTAGTTGGGAGTGGGTAGGTGTTGGGAGGAGATGACACATAAACTAACGCATCCTTTGGAGTTGTGCACTGTTCAGCCGGCACAATTGTTCATGATAGTGTTGCATTCTAATTTTTTTCTTCATTGAGTTTATTGGTACATTTTAGGTATACAGTACAGTTACATTCATTTTTGGGAACTTGTATCTTTACATGGCAGGTCTTGGTTCTCAATTTTTCCCCTTGTCCCTGCCCTCCCTTGCATTCTAATTTTTACTCAGTTTACAGTTGGTACCACTGAGAACAAAAAGGATTTTCCCTTTCTCTGCTTCCATGGCTCTCTGCATCATTTATTTCATCACGCTCACATTATAGTGAAGTAATTAGAGGGAAGATGTCTTTCCAACTCAAGGATTCCACGTTAAGAAATCCACTGTTGAGCACACAAATGCTGTATTTTCCAATATCAGCTTTATTGTCAACTAAGACATTTTCTCTCAGTTGGTTCCAAACTCAGGTAGAGCAGAGGATGGTATTTATCATGCAATAAAACTTAAACCTGTACATGGAGAGTCAATCAAATATTCATGAATAGAAAAACAAAAAATGTCTGCATATGCCACTAAAGACTAAAGATCAAATGAAAAATTAATCCCTTCCCCGAGTCTGGCTGTTAGAAATATTTACCTTGAGGGTAGTTTTGTACTTTGTTGTTTCTCTATTTAGAAACATTAGCATCCTCTTCTATTACATTTTTAAGGGCTTTGACTAATTTTAGCAATTAATAGCTCATGTTTATAGTTCTTCAAATATTTGACAGTACATTGACTCATTCAAGTCTCAACAGGAAAAGCAGGTGTCATCTCCACTTTGCACTAAGAGGAGAACTGACTCAGGGAGACAGAGTGGTTTACCCCTCTGAGTGGAAGAGATGGGTTTCAGGGTGTGTTGGATCTGAGTCCACTGCACTAGGCCATGTCTCAGGCAGTGTGGACAATACAAACAGGCACCTATGTCTGTTTCTCCCCTCCATTCAGCTAAACTTACTGCCCTTCCCTGCTCCCTTGAAGGTGGATATGATTCTGTGATCAGATGTGACCAATAAAATGAGAAGAAAGAGATCTATGTCACTTTTGAAGCAAAGCACTTGATTTTTGGTGATCAGCTCACCAGCTCACCCTCCTTCCTTGGTAAAGTTTTCAATACATAGTAGCACTTTTTATATGGAGGTGTTGTAAATCCAAAGTAGCCTGAGATGATGAACTACACAGAGGACATTTTTTTCTCCCAGAGGTATCTGGTCCTTGAACAAAAATTTAATGTTTACTATGGTCAACCAAGAAGATTGTGTTTGTTACCACAGCACAACCTCGCCTAATCTAGCCAATTCTAGCAGACTCCACACATGACTGGGCTTCTTGCCCTTAAAGCTCAGGCTTCTACTCAGAGGCCTATTTCACATGCTCAACTAATCTTCCCTTCCCAAATTCAACAAACCCTTTGGCTCTTTGTCCCTTGAACTTATAGTTTCCACAGTTTTAACTATTAATCTTCAATAGATACAGTCCAGAGGAAAGTTGGGGAGGTCAGATTTCTACCTAAGGACAGAGACATCGTCAATTTTGAGGAATGCTATCAACCCAGTGGATGTTCTAGGCTGGGTCACATATGAATTTGTCATGATTGGTTGCAATGGGCTAATTAGATAAGGTCAAGATCATTCTAAGATGAAGAGAAAAAAGGAGGAAGAGAAAGAGAAGAAGGAGGAGAAGGGGAAAAATAAAGAGGAGAAGGGAGGTGAAAAGAGAAAGGAAAGAGAAGAAGTAAAGGTGGGCGGGGGACGACCAACAACAAAGTAGCAGAAGCCAGGACCAAGAAAGAGAGGAGATGGGCTTGACCTGGCTAGGAGCTGATTCAGCACCACAGACAGGTCTAGTTGACCTCTTCCTTACCCATTCTTATCAGATCACAAGTAGTCAGATTATATAGAAGTCAGATGATGGGCCTAACTGGGTGACCCACAAACCAAGCTGGGTCTGGGTATTCCATAACTTTATTCTGGCTCTTTTAGATGCTCTTCCCAAATCTTCTTGTGCTGGTAGCCATGCCAAGTGTCTAGATGACCTAGATCCAGAAGACCTAGTGTAGCCCACTCTCTCCCATATACTTTCCTTTGACAAATTTTGAGCACCTACTATGTATGTGTCGCGCTGCAAACCTCTGGGAATGCAGTACAAACTAGACAGATATAGTCTCTACCCTCACAGAAAAACCCGATAGGAAAACCCAATAGCACTTAAACAGCAATTGTAAGAAAGTGTGACTGGTGTCATGACAGAGGATGTAAAAGGAGGCTATGGAATTACCTAGTTGAAGAAATTAACTTATTTAGGAACTTGGGTAATGAGTTCAGGAAAGATTTTTTGATAGTTTTAATCCCTTTCTGAATGTTCTAATAATACATATTTGTGTTTAACTGTAGGAATTTAAGGGATGGAGATTTTTCCATGATTTTAAATTCCACAAACATTTCTCAGGCACATCTTGGACTATTTTCCTTGCATTACCTTCCTTAGTTCTCTCAGTGATCTGGGAGGTGGTGTTTGGTGTTTTTCACTTTCATTACAAGTGAAGAGAGTCCCTACAGCCAATGTGCAGTGGGCTCAAACTCTAGGTTCTTTCCACGCCAAACTGAGCTGACTGGGCCCCACACTCTGGGAACACACCTTCCAAATTCTGAGAACTCAGGTCCTGCAGTCCTTGAAGTCTCTTTGTGGAAGCAGTATGCATCCAAGATGATTTCCGTTTACTCAAGGAGGTGTTTTCTGCACATCTTGGCAGCAGTGAGACTGCTTTCAGTGCCTCCCTTTGTCAGAGATGGCAAATGTCACTCAGCACCCCACGGAAGACTTCTATTCTGCCAGCTGACAGCATCCCATGGAACAGAACAGTGAGTCTCCAATCTTCAGACCATTCCAGCCAGAGGCCAGACAATGCCAGAAGCAAGAAGTGATCCTCAAGGATAAACCTCTGCCCCCTCCTGATGTGGAGAAAGGTCAGCTTTTCCTCATCTGAAACAACAGAGAATGCTTTGATTTTTCTTCAGAGATTGGTATGTCTGGTGAATTGCAAGAGTTGCTTGCTTCCTCTATGTTTAAAATCAAACATGGTTATCTGTTTAGCTTTGGGTTGGTACAAGGTATTAATTCTCAAGATAAAGTCAGGGAAACAGAAGTCCAAAAACACAAATGTACGTACCTTACTTAGATGGTTTTATTGCTCATACAGTAGGCCCTCTTTATCCATGAAATCATGTTCCAAAGCACTGAACCTAAAGAGATTTTTAAATCCTGGAATAGTGTTTTCTCAATTAAGTATATAGTTATTATAATATTTAACTTATAATTTAGGAATGCTAAAATATTATCAACAATAACTACTAACAAAGCACTATAATAAAAGTTGTATGACTGTGTTCTTTGTCAAAAAATCTGCTCATGGTGGGCACTTAACAGATTTACTCAATAAATATTTATTTTGTTGTGTATCTGTTATATATCGCTATGTTGTGTATTGGGAACAAGAGCAGCAAACATTCCCTGACATGATCCTTGACTTCATGGGGCTAAAAGTCGAGAACCTGTGATAGATTGTTGCAGATTATTCACACCAGGGAAATTATCCGGTATTTACACATGTGTGACCTATTTATTTCACTTAAGAGTATGGCCTCAATATGCATCCATTTACCTATAAATGACTCTACTCTCTCATTCTTTATGGCTGAATAATACTCCATTTTACAGAAAAAAAAAAAAAAACACATTTTCTTTATCCAGTCTCCAACTGATGGGTGATTAGGCTATTTCCAAGTTTTAGTTATTACAAACTGTGCTGCTATGAAAATGGATGCACATATAACGCTGTGGTATGATTTCAATTTTTTAATTTTTTTGGAAAGATAACCAACAGAGAGATAGCTGGTCAACTGGGACTAAAAATCCTAGTTTTTAAAAATATCTCCAAATCGATTTCCACAGTGGTTGCACCAGACTACACTCCCACCAACAATGAAGAAGGGTTCCTTTCTCTCCACAACCACACCGATATTTGTTATTGGTTAATTTCTTGATAGCAGCCATTCTTTGTAGGGTGAGGTGGAATCTCAGTGTTGTTTTCATCTGTATTTCTCAAACAACCAGTGATGTGGAACATTTTTTCATATATTTATTTGCTGCTTTTATTTCTTTGAGAAATGTCTGTTCATTTCAGATGCCCATTTTTGAATCAGGTTTTTATATTTTGGAGGTCTGTTTTGTTTGTTTGTTTGTTTTTTAGTTCTTTACATATTCTAGTTAGTAGACTTTTGTTTGAGGAACAGCTTGTAAATTTTTTTCCCACATTATAGATTGTCTCTTACCTCTGTTGGTGGTTTCTCTTGCAGTGCAGAAGCTTTTAAAAAAGATGGGATCCCAGTTGTTGATTCTTTGTGCTAGTTCCCATGCTATTGAGTCTTTTTCTACATCAGTGTCTTTGAGAGTTCTACCTAACTTATCTTCCAGCAAGTTTAGTGTTTGTTTTAATATTTAGATCTTCAATTTTAGTTTAGTGCATGGTGAAAGATAAGGATCTAGTTTTAATATTTGGTCAGTTGAAATACAGTTTTTCTAATACCATTTATTAAAGAGGCTATCTTTTCTTCAGTAAGGATGATGGGCTCCTTTGTCAAAGATGAGGTAGTTGAGCATGTCTGGAGTTTTTTCTGCATCTTCCAATCTATTCCAACCTGATACTCAGGTCTGTTTCTTTGCCAGTACCATGCTGTTTTTATCACAGTGGTTTTGTAGTATAGTTTCAAGTTGGGGATTGTGATACCTGTCACATCTCTGTTGCCTAGAATGGCTTTTGCTGTTCTAGGTCTCTTCTGGTTCCAAATGAGTTTTTTGATCACTTTCTCTACTTCTTTGAAATATACTGCTGGAATTTCAATCGGGATTTCATTGAATCTTTATAGCAGTTTTGGGAGTATGGCCATTTTCACTATACCCAGGATCCTACCAGGATCAAGGGATGTCTTTCCATTTTATTATATCCTCTTCGGTCTCTTTTTTCAGAGTGCTGCAGTTTTCAGTGTGGAGGTTTTTTGGTTTCTTCATTAGGTTGATTCCTAGATACTTCATTTTTTGAATGCTATTGTGAAAAGAATTGTTTCCTTAATTTCTCTCTCAGTCTGTTATTTGTGTACAAGAAGGATATTGATTTTTTAGTGTTGACCTTGTATCCAGCTACTCTGCTAAATCTGTCAGTTAAGTCTAGAAGCCTTTTGGTAGTTTTTTGGGTCTTCTATGTATGAGGCCAGCATTTGATGCTAATTATTACTTATGCCTTTCAATTCTTAAGGGGTTATGAATAGTGATGACTTAATTTTCTTTCCTCTTCCACTCTTTCTTTTTTTCTTTCTTTCTTTCTTTCTTTTTCTTTCTTTCTTTCTTTCTTTCTTTCTTTCTTTCTTTCTTTCTTTCTTTCTCTTTCCTTCCATATAGAGAAACTTCCCCTCATTAACTGTTCACTACCCAAAGGAAAGAATGGAGCAATATGTTTTAATCTGTTTCAGTTGTCATCTTATTGTGCTCAATTTATCCTTTCTTTTGAAAAATGAAACTTCCTCATTTTATCTCCTGAATTCTCTTCACAAGGTCCTGATGATTCTTAATAGTTTCCTTGCTGACAGAAAAGCATTCCAGACTCCCTGTATTAATTTTCTAGGACTGCCATAACACATTACCACCAACTGAAATGAGACAAACACATCTCTCTCAACTTCTGGAGGCCAGATATCCAAAATCAAGTTGTCAGTAGGTTCATGCTTCCTCTGAAGACTCTAGGGAAGAGTCCTACCCCATCTTTACCTAATTTATGTGACTACTGACAAACTTTGGCAGTTCTTGGTCTTCAACTGAGTTATTCTAATAGCTGCCTACATTGTCATATGGCTTTCTTTCCTGTTTCCTATCTCTTCTTTTCTTCTTATAAAGACATCAATCATCGAATTATGGCCCACTTGAATCCAGTATCACTTTTTAGTTTAAATAATCGCATCTTCAAAGATCTTATCTCAACATAAGATCACATCCTGAGGCTCTGGGGGGCCAAGGGGAAGTGTACAGAAGCACATATTGAAAATCCTACAGTTGAACTATTTAGTGCCCAAAGCACAGATAAAAAAAGAATCAGACAGAAGCTTTGATGGTCATTAAAAGAAGACAAAGCAAGAGTTTAGGAGGATTAATGCTATTCTGTTATTAAGGTCTGAGAATTTTTCTCTCACTGAGTAATCACAAAAGGGACATTACACACAAAGGAGTAAGCTATGTAGTCAACAGCAGATCCTGCATCTTGTTGCCTCTCTCATTGCAAGACCTGTTACATCCAAGATCTCTTTCTTCCTTATGACAGCTCTGGGTTGCTGTGGCAGGCAGAGTGCAGGTCATTCTCCTTTTTTGAGCAACTGAGGAAACAGAGGGAAAAGAAGATAATAAACTGGCCCTGAATGTTGTTTCACTTGTGGGAAGGAGAAAGGAAAGAAAGAAAACATTAAAGGAGGAGATTTCCTTAGGGAAACTGAGGAGTGAGTCTTACAGAGTTGAAATAGCTTAGAAGTCAGTGCCAGAAAGGTGCTGTGAATATATACTGGGACTCTGAATAAGTTCCACAATCACTTTGAGCTTCAGTTTCTTTAACTTAAAATTAAGAATAATAATGATATCAACTTTATATGTTCATGCTTATACTTTCTAATGCATTTCTTGAGCATCTTCTATGTGTCAGGCACTATCGGTGCCATCAGAGTTACGGCACTGGAAAAACTACACAAAATCTGCCTCACGGAATTACATTTCAGTTCAGGTAGTTGTGAGGTGCAAGTAAAATAACAAATGTAAGCACTTGGCAAGTAATGAATACTCCAAAAAAATTAAGTTTCCTTCACCTGAGCCTGATTTGGAGTCAGAGTTAGAGACAGCCAAAGCATGTAACTTGCAGTGACTTATGTAAGTGAGAATTCCTGTCCAAACCCACCTGGAGATCCCAGCATGCTTTCACAGACTAGGTAAGGAAAGATTCACTTAGAATAAACTGCAATATGTATTTTCCAAGGGGGAAAATAGGGAAGATAGGGAAGTTTGCTTTAATCTTAGGAAATTTTTGTTTTGTTTCATTTTACTGTCCTACTGTGACTTCTCACAAGGAAGGATCTCAGAAGTTTTCCTGGTAAGATACTATTACATTATTCTCTCTTAAAAATATATTGGCCACCTCTAAAGTGATTGTATATATTCACTGATATCCTCATTTTCTCCTCTAAAAGCTGCCAAATATCCCAGGGCCCTGAGTGAGCAGCAAGAGTTAGGAATTGGATGATGGAATTTGGACAGATAGATGAGAGATCTCAGAGGCTAAGATGGGCAGCTCATCATCATGGCCATGGTGTCTGGAAAGGTTTTTTAGAAGCTCTGGTTAGGGGGTCCAGGATTCTCCATGAGGCATCTTGGCCACAAAAGTCTTTTACAAAAAGAAGCCTTGGATTCAGAGAAGTGGGTAAGACCAACAAAACACTTAGAGACAGACAGGGGCAGTTCTCATCGCATGCAGGTGATGTCTTTTGGAATAATGAAGTCTGTGGACATATAAATATTATGTTAGAAAACCATATACTAATAAAAATAAAATATTTTTAAAAAGACTGTGGGCTTCTCTCCAAGGAAGTCCTATGAGAAGCACGTGTGCTCACTTGGCCCTTGGCAACTTCACACATTTTTGCTGCTGCATTCCCAACACTGAGTCCTTTGGAAGCAGGCTAGGACAAAACAATAAACCTCAAGTTTTTGCTTCTAGTTGGAAATTTGTATTTCAGGTACGATACTAATGGGATTTTGTTTCCCTATAACATTAAGTGATGACAGAAGTTGATTCCCTGTGTGCAAAACATGAAACTTGCAGCATGAGACCCCATAAACTTGAAACCCACAATAAAAAGAAATTATGAGGTAAGAAGAAGGCACTTTGGTTGGAACACAGAATGACCTTTGACTTTTACTGGGGTAAAACTCCTAACAGGGCAGATACAGCAGACAGCTACTTTTTGTCTCCAATTGAGAATATTATTGTATTCTGTTTAATTACAACATAAAAGGGGTGTTTAGAATCAAGAAAGTGGAGTCAGAGGCCCAGTGGTAATATCCCTAGGGAATGTGAGAGTTTTACCAAGGTATCACTTCTCTGGGAATTTTAACCAATCTGATGGGAAGGAAAGTTTCTATCATGTTACCCCAGGTCACCTGTGAGAAAACTAATCTTTGGAAAGACACAATTGCCACCATACACATTGCATATACATAGGTATATGTTTGTGCTTTCAATCCTACCTCCCCAGTCTTATCATCTGTCCTGGAGAAAAGACAACACAAAGATGTTGGCAGGGCAG